GGTGAATAAGCCGCATTTCTTTGGTCTTGCGACAATCATTGTTGCCGTTAAGCAAAGAAAGACCGAAAACAATGAAGTCAGAAAGAGAATATATACACTCCTTTCTACCACTTCTTTCTCTTTTACTCCGACGAAGGACTAGCGTCCGAAACGTCAGTAAGTTTTTTCATGCCCTAACTTAGATCAGCTCAGATGTTGTTTCAGGGTTCGATCTGTGAGTTAGCCATGCCCTGACTTTGATCAACCCAGAGATTGTTTGAGGATTCGATCTGTGAGTTAGCCATGCAACCCAAAGGTTGTTTCAGGGTTAGACAAAAAATGACCTAAAACGGTGCCGAACATTTAGCCGAGTTGTTTAATAACGATGATATTGCATGAATGATATGCATAAATGCAAACTATTCCAAAGGTTATCCACTCCACTCACCTGATAGAAAAACGTGCGTATGCCCTTTTTATCAAACACCTTTGCAGATAAAATCGCGGGCGCCTTGTATGCAGCATCTGCATTTGCATCTAGAAACCCCTGTCGATTGGCATTCAAATCACTTGTGTTGGGCCAGTTCGTGTACTGTTGTATAATACTCTTGGATATTTCTTCATTTTGGTCTCGCACCCAGTTAATTGACTTGACTCTTCTCACAAATTCCGAGTACTGCAGACCTTCGTTAATATTTGGAATGGCGACTTGCACTCCTGAAAGAAAGAGAAAATGAATTACTTATTGACTTGAAACCGAAAGAAAGAAAAGAAAAGAAGAGAAGAGAAGAGAAGAGAAGAGAAGAGAAGAGAAGAGAAGAGAAGAGAAGAAATTGCGTCGAATATTCACATTTTATTGAAAAAAATTCATTCTTTACTTTTATCCTTTATGTGCTACTAAACAATAAAAGCTAACAATTCAATACAAGTTCTGAATTTCATAAAATACTGTAATTGCATAAGAAAAGGAAGGTTTCATATTGATACTGACCCGGTAAGTAGCCTGTTGCTCTTGTGCCCTCATCTCGCATCACACCAATCATCACGCTGCCTTCCTTGTGGTACGAAAAGGTACCGTTTTGAAGAATATCGATGGGAGATTCTACAAGAATGAATATTATAGGATTCAACTGATTGCATCATTTAAACAATATTAGTTAAATCCAACAAGTGATCCATCATCAATGCTCCGTTCTGATTACATAAGCTTTGTACTACTAGGCTATAAGATATATAGCCTGCGAAAAGTACCGGCTTTGAAAACCAAAACATTGAGTTTACCTTTAATTCAAAATTTTTTGCATCTATACATTTATAAGGCTCTAGCTTATTCGCTGCATACGGGCCCGAAGACTAATTGCTAATTAACCGACCGCGCGAACAAATGCAACAGATTATTTTGTTTGTACACAATAAGTCATAATACATTTTTAATCAATTAATCATAACCAACAAATCCAACCCATCAACCAACACACCAACTAAATTAACTATCGGACAGAACGACCAACCAGCTAACCTGCAATCTGACTAGTCACTTCTCAAATAGCTTACCAACCATTTTGACTGACTGATTTGTAAATGACCCATGCATCCATCCAACCATGCACTAATCAATAAACAGACCAACCGACTGACGGAGCGTCCAGGGAGCGTATTTTAATATTGTCTAAAGTAAATCTTTGTCTTTACCTTTTAAAAAGTTCCCATCGACAACCGGGGCAAATGGGGCGAGCAGCATGGTAGAATTAACTTTCAACTGTGCTGTGATGATTTCAGAGATGTTTTTCTTTGTGGCGCAGTTTTTGAGGTCTGAAAGTTCTGGACATCCGAGGGCATCAGCAAACATCCTGGAGGAAAAAATAGAGCCAATGGAAAAAAACCACCAGCCCACCAACCCACCATCCCACCAACCCACCATCCCACCA